CAAGGGTTCATAAGAGAGAGAGGGTGGGGGAGGGAGGGGAAAAGTGAGGAGCTGATATCACGGGCTCAAGTAGAAAGAAAATGCTTTGGAAATGATGATGGCAACATATGTACAAATGTGCTTGACACAATGGATGAATGTGTGGATTGTGCTAAGAGCTATAGGTGCCTAATAAAAAAAGAAAAGAAAAAAAATCCTAGAAAAAAAAGGTACAGCATCTGTGGTCTTAAAGGCATGAACAAGTGGCCATCTAGCTGAGAAGCAACACAGTCCACATGGAAGAAGCACACCAGTCTGTGTGATCATGAGGTGTCAATAGGATCAGGTATCAGGCATCAAAGACACAGAACAAAAATCCTATCAATGTGAATGAAGGGAAGTGCAGAGTAGAGACCCAAAGCCCACCTGTAGACAATCGGACATCCTCTTACAGAAGGGTCACAAGGAATAAACGAGCCAGTCACAGTATAGCACCGATGAAACATACAACTTTTCTCTTTGATGCTTCCTCCTCTCCACTATCCTGACCCCAATTCTACAGTTAAGAGCTACAGGGAATCCAGGACAGATACACCCATCAGGATCAATAGTGAGAATATCATTACCATGAGGTTAAGGGGAAGATGGGGAGAGAAATGGGAACAGATCACAATGATCTACATATAACCCCTCCTAGGGGGACAGACAACAGAAAAGTGGGTGAAGGGAGACATCCGTCAGTGTAAGACATGAAAAAATAATAACAATTTATAACTTATCAATGGTTCATAAGGGAGGGGAAAAATGAACTGATACCAAGAGCTCAAGTAGAAAGTTAGTTTTGAAAATGATGATGACAACAAATGTCAAAATGTGCTTGACACCATGGGTGGATGGATGGATTGTGATAAGAGCTGTAGGAGCCCCCAATAAAATGATTTTTTTTTAAAAAAGAAAGCATGGCAGAAACCTTTGATATGTCTTAAAAGAAAAACTTGGTTTAGAAGCTAATAAAGACAAAGCACTAAATATCTAATGCTCTCATCACATTAGATTCTGGATTTTCCAAAGCAAAATGTATGTTCCTCTTGGACCAACACTAGAGTCAACATTGAATTGGAATTGACTCGGTGACCCTGGGCTCTTGGTCTAAGACAGCTCCTATGCTAACGTACAAAACAGCAGTCTATTGGCTTGTATACCTACAAAGAATGAACAAGATTTTAAAAATGGCACAAATGTTTCATGCATTGTGATCAATGTAACTTAAGTCAACCATGCTTTCTATTCTTGGATATTAAAAAGTTTTCTCAGATGAAATTGGTATTATAAATTCTCAGGTACCGCTAAGCTTTGCTGTTTTCAAAATAAAACACACGGCTTTGCGTTTTGTTAAAAATTCTAATGCTAAATGGTAACCATCATCTGTCCATCCATTAGTAGTATTGTGGTGGTTGGTGTGTTGCTGTGATGCTGAACATTATTCCGTTACCAGTGGGGTCACCTATGTGGGCAGTTTCAGGGGAGCTTCCTATGACAGTCAAGAGTAAAGGCCTGGTGATTATTTCCAAAAATGGGTGGAACCTTCTGAATTACAACAGAACATTGTTAGAGTCACTTGCTCTGGTCATTGGAAGAGAGGCATGTGAGGTGAAGCTAAGGGGCGTGGGCTTAGCTTACGAGGGACTAAAGCATGCTGGGAATGGTGAAGATGACACAGAATGGGGCAATGTTTTATTCTGTCATGATCTAAATGTTATAGCTTCATGTTTTGTTTGATCTTTGGCTGAGGAGTAGCAGTTTATCAAAAGAACAAGATTTTTTAAATCTTCATGGATTTTGAGATATGACACAACATGATAGCAAACCCAAATCATGGGTCTTTGGACGAAAATGGAGAGTATGCATAAGTAATATCAACATTCAAGCACCCGTTCCCCCAAATGTCATGATAGCAATCAGTGTCCGACTTCCTGGTCTAACCTCACATGGGGGAGAATCAAGACCAACACTCACAAGTCAGGAATACAACTTTCCAAACATTTTACCAATTATAACACCAGATGTCCCTCCCACCCTAACCACCTTTCCTGCTCTGCAATGGCCACACAAAACTCCCAGACCATAACTCAGATGCATCACGTAACTCAAAGTTATGAGGCTTGTTAGGAAAGAGGCTGTAATTCAAAATCAGGAAAAGACTCAGGATACTGTTCTTTAATTAAGGCAGCCTATTCTCAGCAGTGTTTGACAGATCTCTCTCAGCTTTCTCACTTTGTGGGCCAGAAAGCCCACCAGGCCATCCATCCTGACTTCTGTCTCTACCACCATTACTACTGTCTCTTGAAGCATCTCCAGTGTTATAGCTTTTCCTGTTTCCTGGGTCTAGGAGGTTCCCAGCACTGGGACCTCAGATCTGGAGAATGTGTTCCCCTGCTGGCTCTTCTTTCTTGATGGTTGTGAGAGTGCCTTCTCTGCTCTTGAAGTGCCCTTTTTTCAAGCCTTAGGGAATGGCAAAACTGGCCAATCTCTTCATTAGGTTTCCATACACCTTATCTGCAAGCCCCCATAAGCGTGCCAGGCTCATTATTTACATCCAAGCTGTCCAATCCCTGACTACAGCTAGAAGAGCCACGTTGAGTCACAGCATGGCAGTTTTACCTTTAAATTACCATTAGAATTCCCATGCTTTGATGTCATGTGGAATAAAATCCCCGTTCTCCTCCTCTTTATAGATTTTGATACACAGGGCAATTATAATCAATGGGTGAAGAGTTGCCTAGGTGACAAGAAGCAATAATGAGAGAGGTTAGTTCTTTTCCAGTGGAGGCATAGATGGCGAGAGGTAAACTTGACCCTGGAAGGTTGAACTCAAGCAGTTATGAATAACCTTCATTTCTGGAGATAGAACCTACTGTTGTTTTTAAAAAACAGTCAGCTCCACCCCAGTTGTCAATGAGTTGATTGCAACTCACAGCAACCTTAAAGGACTTCCCTATTCAAAGCAGACCTCCACACCTTTCTCCTTTAGTTACCATTGCAGCTTCAGCATTGCACCCTTCAGGGTTCAGTTTAAAACTCATGGTCATTTTAGAACAGGGATGTGAACAGCCTTGCTGTCATGCAGAGTACATTGGAAAGTGGATTACTGCAGATACCGTTAGGTTAAAATTTAACATGGTATCAGAGGATCTCCCTTTGAGCCCATTTTGAATTAGTTAATTTTTAATATTTTCTGCTTTTTTTAATCAAAGTTTTTCTGTTTTGTTATGGTTGTTGTTTTCTTGTAGTTTTCCTGTATATGAAATCTATGTATTTAGACAGTAATTAATGGTTTCTTGGGGTATGGCAGGGAACACTGGGAGACATGGGGAGCTAAAAACAATGAGTACATGAGGGAAGCAATGTTCTAAAATTAGGGTGATGGTTGTACAACTCTTTTTAGGATGATTGAGCTACTGAATTATAAGGTATGTGGATTATGTGCCAATAACACTGTTAAACACAGTTAAAAATAAAAATCCTGGTCATTAGAAACTGGCTAGATATGACAGCTCCTTCTCCCCAACCTATTTCATCCTGGTCTTCTCCATACTGGTAGCTGGCACATGTCACATTAGAGTAATGGGGTCTTGTTATTCAAAGTTATCCAGTTCGATAGCAGAGCTTGGGTAGACGTGGGGGTAGGAGCAGAGACATACGTATATAAGGAAGCATTTTCTTAACTCTTCATAGAAACGAGAATAAAAAAGTGACACAACTTTTCAATAGCTTGATGATCTCTAGGACCAACTAAACCACAGCCCTAAACCCTTATTGTCATCAGAGTAATTCCAATCCATCCTGTCCCTACAGGCATCCCGAAAGGCTTTCAAAGCTGTAATCTTTACAGGAGCAGCCAGCCACACCTGTCTTCCGCCAAGTACCTGGTGGCTTCAGACTACCAGGCTTTCTGTTAACAGGGGGCACTCAACCATCGTACCACCCGCACTCCTACTAAACCAAAATTACCTTTCTGTATACATAACTACACTGTTTAGATGCAAATGAGAAAGTCAAAAATTCATATCAAACCAAGATTTTTTTTAAGTTCCCTGAGATGATGTGGCAGTTATATAACTTGCGAAGGGGTGGAGTCTAGCCTGTCAATTATGTCATAGCCAATGAGGTCTCTGTGTGGGCATGGCCATTTCCTGAGGATTCTGGGAACTCCTGTCTTCCTCACTGGAGGCCAGACATACTCTACCTACTTCGTCTTCCTGCTGACAAGCCACATGGAGCGATGCTAACAGAGCCAGAGCCCTGGGGCTAGAGGAGCCACGTAGAGACCCACGCCAGTCCTGAGATACGTCCACCACCACTGGAACCATAAGACTTTCCACCCACTGACCTGTGATCTTCCTGAATTTGGTGTCATTGCATGTGTTGCATGAGTGTGAAGAGGAATTTATAGACTCTATGGATAAATGGGCCAATATCAGACTTATGGACTTGAACTGGACTGGGCTAGGATGTTTTCTTAATATACAATTACTCTTTGATATAAAATTCTCTCTCACGCACCTATGGGTAGGTCTATGAATTTGTCAACCTGGACTAGATGACGTACTACACCCGGCAGGTTACAACAGAAAGCAAATGATTCACAAGGACAACTGAGTCAAATCAAACATCTATTTCCACAAATATTACAAGATAAATTACATCTTCGTGATTGGTTGTTGCTACAAATGTATTAAAACCAGGAAAATTACCATATCAAAATAATTTTGCCACAGATTGATTCTTTTCCTTTCTTGATTCATGTCTGGGTTTTTTTTAAATCATTTTATTAGGGCTCATACAACTCATCACAATCCATACACACATCAATTGTGTAAAGCGCATTTGTACATTCGTTGCCCTCATCATTCTCAAAACATTTCCTCTCCACTTAAGCCCCTGGCATCAGGTCCTCATTTTTCCCCTCCCTCCCCGTTCCCCCCTCCCTCATGAGCCCTTGATAGTTTATAAATTATTATTTTGTCATGTCTTGCCCTATCCGAGGTCTCCCTTCACCCACTTTTCTGGTTTGTTTTTTTTAAATCCCTGAGCAAGTTGTTTTGTGCCCCGCCCTTTCTACCAGGTCTCTCCAGGCACCGCCTCTTCCGCCTCATCACCACGCCCCCTTCCACAAACCAGTCAACCTAATCAGAGATCTGCACATTCTCCTCCATCAAAACCTTGAGTCCCATCGACCCCTCACTTCAACTCCAGCGCAGGCGTAATGCTGCACAGCCAGATTCTCCTCTGATGAACACGTGGCGATTCCCTGGTATACAGACTTGGGCGAATCCCTGCCTCCCGAAGTGTCCGTCTCAGCTCTTGGGATGCTGAGTTCTCGTACAGGGTCTCTAATCACCTACCACGGAAGCGTCTTAAGGGCTCCAAGGCCTTCTGCCTCAGATGCTCATCCAAGCACTGCACAGCAAAGAAGTCGACATCGGTATCAAACTTGTTGGCAAACAAGTGGTGCTGGCGCAACATCCAGTTCAAGTCTCCAGCTCCGAAGACGCACACGGAGCGCACGTGGACGCCGCTGCAGGGCGGGTAGGGAGCCCCCTGGGCAACGTCGCCCTCGAAGTAGTGCCACTTGACGAACCTGGCGATGGCGTGCATGTCAGACATGTCATATTTACGGTTCGAGGGCAGTGCGCCCGGGACGTCCGAAATCCTCTGAACGGTGGCCCAGAGATACTCATCAGGGCTGTAGGTGTCTTGCGCCCACTCCATAAACTTTCTGATGTTTTCATTTTCTAGCACGTAACCCACATAGTCCCTGCGCACCACAAAATACGCGCTGCCGGAAAACATGGGTGTTTTGAGAGGAGGCCGGGCTTTGTCGAGCCCGGTCTTTGTGAGCGTCCCATCCACGACTTCGTAATGCTTCTTCCACCTTTCCTCTTTATTGGCCGGCATGGGCTCCGTCTCCAGGCTGTTCTGCCCCCGTAAGGACCTGAGCTTCTGGACAATCTCCAGGTTGGTTTTAATAGGGAAATCCATGCCGCACAGGTTTATCAAGTACTTCCAGTCTGCACCCATCCCATACAGGTCCTTCATGCAGTTGAGGTCGGCCTGCACCCGGCTCCAGGAAGCATACACCACGTTCTCCAGCTTGCTGGCCACGAAGACGTTACCGAAACACGATGCGATGCCCGACACAGCAGCCAAGAAGGACTCCTCGGATTTTCGGTCCACGTGAACGCAGTAGACATTCTGCGGCGTGTAGATGGCCCTCAGCAGCCTGTCGAACATCTCGATCTTGTGGTGAACCACGATGGAATAGGCAATTGGAAAGGCGGCCTCTTCCTGGCTCAGGTGTTCCACCAGGTACTTGCGCCTCTTGATGAAAGAGGCGCAGTCCCTGGTCATGCGGATGTAGTCGAAGGTGGTGAGCCGCGGACGCTTTCTAAATGCCACTGTTAGCATTTCCAGCCTCGCCCTTTGGGCCTCATCTGCATCGCCCTGCAGCACTTTGGTACAGTTAATATGGTCACTGGGATTCTCGTCAGTCAGTTGCAAATGGCTGATGCTGACAAAGTCGGCCTTCTGATGAATTCTTAAAACAGAGAAGGTGACTAGGGAGAAAACGAGAAGCAAGAGTAAGTACTTCGTGGGATGGGGGGAAAAACGCCACTGCAACTTCCTCAGCATTTCAAAGCACAGTCAGGTCCTTGGCTTCGGGGGAAAAGGCCGTTTTCCCAGCTCGGCTCGGGACACCACCAGTGTTTCCTTCTTCCCAGGCGCCTGAGGGTCATCAGTTTGCCTTCTCTGGTGCCACGAAGTCACTGGGTGGCGGCAAGCACTGAAAGCAAAGCAGAAAAGAAACTCATTAATGCAGACCCTCTCACCACAGCGTCCTCGCAAGACTCAACTGTACTCTTGCTCTGAGGTCGAAATCAGCAAGGCCGGATGTTGAAGGCAAAGCAGGAGGAAAACTGCTAGCAGTACAGGAGACCCAGTGTCTAGCACTTTTAGTACATTTACTGAGAGGGTCCTCCTGAGATGAACTGACACAATGACTACACGAATGGGCTCAAATGTAACAACTGTGAACATGGCTCAGGCCAGGGCTGTGTGTCATTCTGCTTGGGGTGTGTGAGGTTGCTATGAGTTGACACCAATCCAACAGAGCCTAAAAACAACAAAACTCTCACAACCACCACAACAAAAACCCACTACCATCGAGTCAATTCTGACTCCGAGCGACACTATACAACAGAGTCAGAACTGCCCCTGTGGGTTCCCAACGCTGTAAATCTTTACAGGAGTGGAAAGCCTCATCTTTCTCTCAAGGAGTGGCTGGTGGTGTCAAACTGCTGACCTTATGATTAGCAGCCCAACATCTAACCAACAACTCCAGGGCTTCTGAACAATTATAACAGTGTAAGTACTTAGTATTTATAGTATACTTATTTCAACAAAGCTAGTTACAAGAGCATAGCAGAATGTGCAACAATAACAATGTTACTTGTTAATGATGCTCCAAAACCCCGCTGATGCTGCATCAATTCTGACTTTTAGCGCTCCTGCAGAACAGAGCTGAGCTGCCTCTCGGGGTTTCCAAAGTTGTAATCTTTTTTTGGCTAACCTCTATAGCAGCGGTTGGCACATCTTTCTCCCACAGAGCAGGTTCAAATCACCCACCTTTCAGCAGCTACATTGTCCCAAGGTGTACTTTGTTGCTTGGAATTCCCGGGCTTCCAAGTGACACAGTGCACTTATGGGACAGTCTGTGACTCATTTCCTCCTCCAAATAAGACAGGGACAGTGGCCATATTCCATGATTTAAGCAAGGCCGGTGGGGGGTGGGGGTGGGGGAGGGGGAGCTGTCAGCCCTTCCCAGGGAGCCAAGACTCTCAAAGTCTGACCTTCAACTGAGAGAAGGTAAATGCTTTCGCTGTAGCGCCCTGGGAAATGGCTTCAGCACAGCATTCTGCAGATGTTCAGTGATATTCCCCTCCAGACCAGAGTCCAACTGGCTAAAGATTTCCAGCTGCTTTGGCTGCCTTTTAGGAAAGGGTTATTAGTCCCTTTTTGTGAGAATTTGTCAAGGACTGCAGGATACGTGACAAGAACACTACATAAATCTGCCTTGCATATAGTTCTGGACCCTGGAGGGTCTATGCTTCAGGAGTCCCCTACACCCCACCAATTATCTTGATCTTATCTCTTCATCTAACTTTCATTTCGACCATGTCCCTCTTGAGCCCCTGTTGTGAGAGAGCTGGTCTCAGTAATCTCACACTTAACCATTGCACCACTTACCAGGGCTTTTGGTTGAGTATGTTGACGTGCAAAAACCCAGTTGAACACCTAGGCTACAGTAATTAGACTATTCAGAGTTGGGATTTTGATGCTTCAGTAATACTAAGAATTTGCATCCTTCGTCTTGAAGGCATTCCTCATGTGGGTTCCTCTACGGAGATTCATGAATGTCCATCCCCGGAATTCAGCAGCCCAGAGGATCGAAAGACATATTCCTTCTACTGGAGGCTGATTTAGGATTAGGGAAATGCTTTGGGAGAAACTCCCAAGTGACTGTGATTTCTAGACTCTTCTGGGGAAGGAAAGGTCAAAGGACTTTTCAAACTAGACTGAAAAGGCTCCATTGAAAGGAGATCAGATTTAGGACTAAGTTGCGTTTCATGCCCATGGAGTGCAGATCTATGCCAGGCACGATAGAAAAGTAAAAACAGACATCATCTACACAAAACTGCCAGTTTTACAGGTCCTGAGTTGTTATAATAATTCTATCTTGCCCTCTCCCCCCCAAATCAGTCATATACAAACTTTAATTTGGGACATACCATACTCATATTGCAGGAACACAACCCACTTGGATTATATAAAATGCTCAGAAACATTCAAATATTGCTTTGTCTCCAAAAATCAAGTATTTGGCAATTGGTTATGTGATTAAGAAGTACTGCTGATCTACCATGGGAGTCGCCTGCCTCCGTGAAGTTTAGAGAGAATGTAAACTAGCACACTTCGCACTGGGACTTTAGAATCTTTCATTTAGAAAGTTGTGACTATGAATACATGTAACAGCAAATAATAAGGCATTCTTAGGATTGAAAAACACTGAGAAAGTCACTTAACCTTTTTCCAAGTTGGAATTAAGGGGAAATCCGGTTTATTTTATTTCATCTTGCAGTCAGTGATGTCCAGTGCCCTTCAGAGCATATATATCTCATGTGATCAATTTTCTTTTTTTTAAAAAATCATTTTATTAGGGGCTCATATAACTCTTATCACAATCCACACATACATCAATTGTGTAAAGCACATCTATACATTCGTTGCCCTCATCATTCTCAAAACATTTGCTCTCCACTTAAACGCCTGGCATCAGCTCCTCATTTTCCCCCCTCCCTCCCCATGAACCCTTGATAATTTATAAATTATTATTTATCATATCTCACTGTCTGCCATCTTCCTCCACCCACTTTTCTGTTGTCCCTCCCCCAGGGAGGAAGTTATATGTAGATCCTTGTAATCGGTTACCCCTTTCCACCCCACCCTCCCGGTATCGCCACTCTCAGCACCGGTCCTGAAGGGATCATCTGTCCTGGATTCCCTGTGTTTCCAGTTCCTATCTGTACCAGTGTGCATCCTCTGGTCTAGCCAGATTTGTAAGGTAGAACTGGGATCATGATATTTGGGGGGGGGTGGTGTTCGGGGGAGGGAGGAGGAAGCATTTAGGAACTAGAGGAAAGTTGTATGTTTCATCATTGCTACACTACACCCTGAATGGCTCATCTCCTCCCCGCAATCCTTCTGTAAGGGGATGTCCAGTTGCCTACACATGGGTCCTGGGTCCCCAATCTGCACTCCCCCTCATTCACAATGATTTAATTTTTTGTTCTTTGATGCCTGATACCTGATCCCTTCAACACCTCGTGATCACACAGACTGCTGTGCTTCTTCCATGTGGGCTTTGTTGCTTCTGAACTACATGCCCACTTGTTTACCTTCAAGTCTTTAAGACCCTACATGCTATATCTTTTGAAAGTTGTGTCATCGGTGCTATGTTGCACCCTGACTGGCTCGTCTCCTCACTGTGACCCTTATGTAAGGGAATGTCCAGTTTCCTACAGATGGGCTTTGGGTCTCCACTCCGCACTCCCCCGCATTCACAATGATATGTTTTTTTGTTCTGGGTGTTTGATGCCTGATACCTGATTCTATTCGACACCTGTGATCACACAGGCTGCTGTGCTTCTTCCATGTGGGCTCTGTTGCTTCTCAGCTAGACGGCTGCTTTTTTATCTTCAAGCCTTTAAGACCCCAGATGCTTTATCTTTTGATAGCCAGACACCATCAGCTTTCTTTTGCTTATGCACCCATTTGTCTTCAGTGATTGTGTAGGGAGGGTGAGCATCATGGAGTGCCAGTTTAATAGAACAAAGTGTTCTTGGATTGAGATAGTACTTGAGTAGAGGCCCAATGTCCATCTGCTACTCTTAATACTAAACCTGTAAATATATGTATGTAGATCTAGTTCCCCATCATCATTATAAATATATTTACATATGTACATGTCTGTATTTAGACCTCTACAAATGCCCCTTGCCTCCTACTTCTTTCCTCTATTTCCTTTGACTTTCCTCTTGTCCCACTATCAAGCTCAGCCTTCATTTGGGTTTCAGTAATTCCTCTGGGTTACATCGCCCTTGGTCACGCCCGTTTTAGATCACTGCTGAGTGCTACCTAGTTCTTCAAATCTTATCATCATAGAGGATGAGGGTCACGTGGTCAGCTCTTTAGACTACTGGTTTCCATACATCTTGGATTCTCCTCACTCTTTGTCCTTACTGATGGGAAGAGACCCAGAGTTGCAACTTTGTGGTTACTCAAGAGCTTTTAAGACCGCAGTTGCTGCTCACCAAAGTAGGATGTAAAACATTGCCTTTGTGGACTGTGTTTTGCCAGTTGACCTTGATGTTCCTTGGGACTGTAGTCCTGAACCGCCAGACCTGGTGATTCACTCCCTCAAGGTGTATGGCTATGGCTCAGGACTCCACAAACTTTTCTTTGATCCATTTGAAGGGGCAGCCAGCATTAGGGTCTGAGGAGTTAGTTTCAACACAGGACCTCACAGACAAGCAGCTCACACCAGTGCGTCATGAATAGCAGCCAACTGGGAAGTTCTCAAAGCAGGATATGCCTGGGGGTGGGGGCGGGGGCTAGGTGCTTCTGCCGAGGTGTGGTCTTGGAGATTCAGATGACCAGAAAAAACTCTCTCCTGAGTCACATGGCCTTGCCAAGTGATTTTATTTGTTTCTTGCTTCTTCCTCTGACCTGCCTGAGGCTGGCATTTGGGCCATGCTGGCTTGAGGGATGACCCTCTGAGATGTGGGCATTTTGCTCCAGGCACAGCAGCCTCCAGACTGCAGAACAAGAGTCCCTTGAACAGCGGGGATTGAGCCCAGGCAGAGTAGTCACTGGAACCAGCGGCCAACTGAAGGGAATGTCTATCCATCCTGCCAACATGTGTCTCTACGCTACCCACGAAGATGCTTGGATGTGCACGTACTCTTGGCGTCATGGTAACAAGTTGGGCAGCTAACTATAATGTCACCACCAGCATAATGTCAAACCATAATGTGAAAACCACCAGCATCTCCAAGGGAGAAAGACGGGCTTTCCAGTTCCATGAACAGCATCAGAATCTCACAGGAGCAGTTCGACCTTGTCCTCCACGGCCACTGTGAGCCAGCGTTGACTCAATGACGGTGAGGTCCATTTTGGGTTTGGTTCACACAAGCGTGCACTTCTATTTGTGAAAGAAAGAGTTTC